TTAGATAATAATAGGGAGTGAATCTTTCCTTATATTTCTTTTTTCTTTAAATAGGTACTTTTTAGAACTTTTTCCGAGGATAGAGGGACGCGTCCTCCGGCTGGATCCGTTATTTCTGGCAACGATATTTTTTTTATTGATATTTCCAACTGAATTATAAAAAAAATACAACTAGTAAATGTGCACACAGTAATGATACAATTACATGAAAATGCTTTTTGAAAAACTACCCATTGATAGCACTCTAATAATATATTTACATAAGTAGATCACGGCCATCTTTTTTCAGAGGCCTCGGAGGGTTATCAGGGATCGAGGAGGAAGCAAGGTTTGAAACGAGAGGATTCGATGGTTCTGCAGTTAGTTATGGAAGGATAGGTATCTGGATTGGGCCAAATCGGAAACATATGGAACATTAAGGTCTTTATGAATGATTTTATTTGTGACAAAGTAAGGAGCGTTGAGGATTTTACGAAGGATTTTGGATTGTAAGGATTAGATACGAGAGGAATTCGATGGTTTAGTGGAGCCCCAAAGCTCAATTCCGTAAGTCCAAATAGGTCTTATTATTGTCATATATATGAATCGTTTGTAATTGATTGAAAGCTTAGAGCGTTGCCTAGTAAGTGTTGGAGTAGTCGGAAACGTCGAAAACGTCGGAAACGTTCTTTCACGGCTAAGTTCCAAGTTAAAAAAGAAATGGATGCAAATGATACATTGGAAGGGGTAAAAATAAATCTATGGTCAAGCAATCTCCACCATCAAATATTTGTGGTTTACAACCTACCTAATAATAAACCGAATTTGAGTTGGCTGGAAAACTCATTGACTGATAGATCCCTTGTGTATGGAGACTTCAACGCACACTCCAGACGATGGGGTTACGCAAACTCAAATTCAGCCGGAGGAATTTATTGACACAAATATGATAGAATTTGTGGAAAACGAAAATTCAAAGTCTACTTTTATGGATTATAAAGGTAACAGCACCCACCCTGATCTATTATTGGTGCACCCCCGAATAGCTCCGCTGATCTCCCACACAGTTGCCCCTCCAGCTGGAGCATTTGGTCACAAAATAATGCTTGCATACCTTAGTGGCCACTCAAATTCAAGTAATAATACAGTACCTCGAATGCTCAGATGCAATTTAAAAAAGGCCGATTGGAAAAAGTTCTCGCAACTCACTCACACAGCCATTACTCCTGAAACCATTACGGAGAGTGTAGATACAAGCTGTGCACGACTTCAAGCGGCAATTCTCGAGTGTGCAAAGCGGTCTATCCCTCGGGGATTTATGAAGAGATACATTCCATTCTGGAGTGATAATCTACAAAAACTAAAAGAAAGTAGGGATGCAGCAAGAAAAGATGCAGAAAGGTCAAGAAAAATGGAAGACATTGTTAGGCTAAGACAACTTACAACAAACTTAAAGTTGAATATAATTCAAGCCAAACGAAAGACTTTTAGAGAATATTTGGCTAGTCTGGACTTTCGTCGAGATGGGATAAAAGCACATCAATTCATCTCAAAGCTAAATGGGGGAAAAGACCCAAGGAACAACCCTCTTAAGTTTAATAACAAGGAGATATTTTCTGGACTTGCCATAGCAAGGAGCTTCTGTAAATTTCTATAAACCAGCAGAAGAAAATAAGAGAATTAATACCGCACCACCAATCTTATGTTTTAACCTTTCTGAAAGCCAACTTTTTGAAGACGACTTCAGTAAGGAAGAGCTTGAACTTGCTCTGGCACAAACAAAGAAGGGAAAAAGCGGTGGCCCTGATGACATATTGCCAGAGTTCCTTATACACCTAGATGCGAAAGCTAAGCTCATAGTGCTGGGTTTTCTCAATGCTGTCTGGACATCACGATATCCTTGTGCCTGGAGGAAGGCTGAGGTGATCCCAATTCTCAAAAAAGGCAAATGTTCCTCTTGTCCATCTAACTACCGACCTATCTCGCTCACAAGTGTTTTCTCTAAGCTCTATGAGAGAATGGTCTTAGCCCGGCTGCAGATATATTTAGATAGGGAAAATAAGATGTCGTCAAAACAAGCAGGTTTCCGAAGGCACCGATGTACAACTGAGCAGGTGGCTCGTTTTAGTGAGGATGTGAAAGATGGATTCCAACGGAAACAGCATACACTTGCAGTATATGTTGATTTCAAAGCTGCTTTCGACAAAGTCTGCCGTAAAGTCCTTCTGAAAAAGCTCCTCAAAATGAATATTGGTGGAAAAATGTACAGAGCCATACAGTCCTTTTTGGCCCAGAGATTTCTCCGAGTAAGACGCAATGGCTGGTTTTCAAGCTTCAGATCTTTTAGACAGAGACTTCCTCAAGGATCTGTTCTGAGCCCCACACTTTTTAATATAATGATCGATGACTTAGTGGCTGTGCTCGAGGGAATACCCGGAATATCTGCTCTACTGTTCGCTGATGATCTACTAATATATGCGACTAGTAGCAGCATAACAGCACTCGAAGCAGCAATTAATGAGGCAATGACAAGACTTTTTACCTGGACCATATCAAATGAAATGGAAGTGAACACCCAGAAAACTGAATTTCAACTGTTCACGTTATCAACCAAAGTGCACGAGCTGGAAGTCATTTATAATAATGTTCCCTTGCCAAGAACCTATGCAGGCAAATACCTGGGAGTTAGGTTAGACACCAAAATGAACTGGAACAGCCAAATTGAAGATATGGTGGAAAGGGAGAAAACAGGCTTAAGCTTTTAAAATGCCTTGGAGGAAAGACATGGGGGGCCACCCAGGATCTTGCATATAAAACCTATGTAGGCCCAGTACTGGAATACGGTTCTGAAGTCATCTGTACTGCGGCTGATGCATCCCTGAAAAGATTGGACAGCCAGCAGAACAAAGCACTGCGTTTAATTTTGGGCGCACCGCGCTCAACTCCTATTGCAGCTATGGAACTGCAGACCACAGTAGAACCCCTTTCGAAACGGCGTGAGCAAGCTGCAATGTGTCTTCACGAGCGAATGAGAAGAACGAATCCAGAGTTTTGGAAAAAATACATAATCCCAACACAACGGCTCAAGACCCAAAAATCTTTCATGTGAAACTGTGAAGAAAGGGAGCCATTTATACAGGCACAGTTCCCAATCCACAACCACGCGAGCAGGGCAGAGCTGCAACTACTCCATAAGGTGGATAAAAAAGAAACACCTGAATATGAGCTGAAAGCGATAGCACTGGAAACTATAGCTCAAAAGTACCCTCCTCAGGATTGGCCTCACATTTATACCGACGGAATAAATCAGCTGAATCAGCCGTCAAAAATGCTGGGGCAGGAGTTTACTCGAGAGAGTTTCAGTTCAGTGCTGCGGTGGGTGAGGATGGTACGAATTTTGACGGTGAGATAGCAGCGATCCTCATAGCCCTAAGAACACTATCAGGAAGGCAAGTTCAGAACGCTGTTCTCTTTGTCGACTCGCAAGCAGCAATCCTCGCCATTACTGACGTGAATAAATGTATGTCGAGTGCTATCTTGGAGTGCAAATCCCTTCTCTACGATCTAATACTCCGAGGCACCAATGTGGTCCTTCAGTGGATTCCGAGCCATTGCGGTATTCCAGGAAATGAGGAAGCGGATAGTCTCGCCAGGAGGGGAGCAGAATTGCCACAAACAGTCCATCCAAAATCCTACGATTCAATTCGGCGAATGGTGAGGATGATAGTGAAGGAGGAAACAAAAAATATGCACAAAGACAAGGTGGAAGGGAAACGTTATAGATGTTTGATGGAAAACCTGATCCCAGCAGACCTACCAAGAAGAGATGCAGTAGCCTGCTTCCGCCTGGCCACTGGTCACGACTATCTACAAAGTCATCTGCACAAGATAGGCGTGGCTGAGGATCCTAGATGTAAATTATGTGAACAAGCGAAAATGGATGCAGACCACCTAAACGAATGTCCTGCTTTGACGGATATAAAGAATCAAACATATGTAAATGATTACATACAAAAATCAAAATTATATTGGGCAGCAAGATGTCGGATGGTCGAATGACCAATGACTATGGCATAGGAAAAAAAAAAAAAAAGTCTTGTATGAGGATTCCATGTGAGTCGTTTGTCCAGGTGGAGTCCTAGGTAACGGATTTGTTCAACTGGGATAAGTGGGAAATTATTAAAGGATACTGTAGGACAGAAGGTCATGGGTTTGCGACGCAGGGTAAAGGTAATTTGATGGGATTTATTGGAATTTATTTTAATTCTCCAGTTTTTATACTACTCTTCAAGGTTTGTGATATGTGATTGGAGAGTTTGGGATGCAGTTGATGGATCATTATTAACAGATAGGATACATGTGTCATCAGCATATGTGGTAATGACAGTGTCAGGATGGGTTGGGATGTCAGCTGTATAAACTGTGTAAAGGATTGGACCAAGGATACTACCTTGAGGAAGATTGATTTTTAATGTATGAACAGAGAAAAAATAGTGAGAGTAAAGTAAATTAGTGGCAAACGCCGTATGCGTGAACTATATCCGGTTAATATAATTTAGGTGATTACATCGAGGGGAATAAAATGGGCTTGTCACATTGATGGGCTTAGCAACAAAAGAATTCCTAAAAGTTTAATATTTGCTGTACCGAATGGCAAACGTCCGAGGAGTAGACCAAAGCGAAGGTGGGAAGATTGCGTTAAAGCCGATCTAAAGGGTATGGGTTTGGTCGGCGAACGGTGGAGGGAGGTGTGTAATAAGTAATTGGTGGTGTCTGCATCGAACCTTCGGGATCGCTATCCTTTTATTATTATATTATTATGAATCGCAAAAAGTGTAAAACTAATAACTCTCAGTTTGGCGATTGTGAAAACAAAATGTTCGAATCAATCATTGCTATTGCACTTTTATTAGTATTGAATAAGAAAGAACCTGTGAAATTGATTCAATTCATAATTTAATTAGTGTCTACAAGGAGTGGTGGGGGGAAATAGAAGTGTCTTGTGATAAGGCACCCAAGCTTTAGTTAATAGTCGACCGTTCTGCAGTAACCATGGTCTTCGAGTCGGCGGGAGCAGGCAGGCCGTGAGTCCAACTGTGAAAAATATATTTTTAAAGATATATTTTTAATAGTTAAGCTATATCATTATTATAAGTTTATATATTCGACAAGAAAATTCCGCTTGACGTAAGGTCTTTTGTAATTCATATCAACACTATTAAAATTTAATGTTGTATTGAAAAGTCATCATATTAAAATTTTCTGAAAGAATAGTCTAGCAATAATATTTTATTGTTTTTAAGGTGATAAAATAGCTCCGAAACAAGAAAAATGACAATTTTTATTATACTTATTTGTTAAATTATTTGTTTGTTAAATTTCTGGCAATAATTTTTTTTTCTCCTAATTATAAACTGCTAACAAATAGAAGTGAACCATTTATAAAAATTCAAATATGACTGACTTAAAATAAAAATTGCTATTATCAACTAAACAAAACCTCCTTTATTTAATATATTACTTCAGATCAGGGATCTCCATACTTTTTGACCCGTAGACCACGTTCAGACCTTCACCAAGTCCCGTGGACCGCATTGGGACCTCCATTAAGTTCTGCGGTGCATGGCTTGTCATGAAAAAAAAAAAATCTTGTTCTATAAATAACTTTTTTTTTTAAATTTATTTTAATGAAATTTACAACTGTATTACATAGAAAAATACAACAAGTAAATGTGACATTGGTAACATGACATATACAGCATGAAGAGAAACTACCCATTGGTAGAACTCAAATTAAAGTTCTATATTAGAAGGTCCCGAGGCCATCTTCTTTTCAGACGCCTCGGAGAGTTATCAGGGATCGAGGAGGAAGCAAGGTATGAAACGAGAGAGTTCGGATGGTTCTGCAGTTTGTTATGGAAGGATAGGTATCTGGATTGAGCCAAATCGGAAACATATTAAGGTGTTTATGGATGATTTTATTTGTGACAAACTAAGGAGCGTTGAGGATTTTACGAAGGATTTTATATTGTATGGATTGGATACGAGAGGAATTCGATGGTTTAGTGGAGTCCCAAAGCTCGATCCCGTAAGTCCAAATAGGTCTTATTATCGTCATATATATGAGTCGTTTGTAATTGATTTAAAGATTAGAGCATTTGTCTAGTAAGAGTGCAGTAGTCGAAAACGTCGGGCGGTTTCTAGTCGTTTCAGTCTGGTATGGGGGTTCAAATAACACTTTAGTATCGAAATGAGCTTTCTAAGAGGTCTTTTCAGATTTATGTTATTTCACTCATCTCTGGTGTTTTTCTGTTTATAAGATGTAAATTGGATTTATCAAATTCTCGGAATATATAATTTTGCGATCGAATGTGATTATTGATGGTGGTTTAGATCTTGTCTCTTCCTCACTAGCAGAATCAATCTGTGGTTTTACTTTCAACGAAATTGAAGTAAGTCTAGTTTGTTTCCTCAATCATGACGAAAGTTATTTAAATTTCCTTGTCCTGTAATAAATGATGTAGTATAGTCTTTAGGAATAAGATTTGAATGGATGAGATTTGGATTGGATGAGATTTGAATGGAGAGAAAAAATTTTATTGAATATATCAAGAGTTTCAAGACGTTTCTTAAGAAATGGGGACAGAATAGGAGGACTATTGCAGGTAGTGATAAAACAGTGGTACTCACACCAGTACCGGATCCAGGATTTAATATTTTTCTTCTTTTTTTTTTTTTTTTTTTTTATAATAGCGATGATTGCTAAGGAAGAAAAACTACCTCTATGAAATTATGTTTGAGTCGCCCTTGAAGGAAAAGAAAATTACGCGAACATGAATGCTTTTAAAGATAAAACTCTTATATATTTTTTTTTGGCAAGTGTTTACATTCAGTGAATAAATTATAACTTAAAAATATATTATGATTGTTTTAGTCCACAAACGGAAACAAATATAGACCATGAAAAAAATAAATATATTTTGGGAAGGTTCAGCCCGAAAGACCGCACCTCTATAGATCCGCCAGTGTCTCCCAATACATGGAAGCGAAAGTTAGGTCATTCTCGACAAGCAGACCAGCCGAATCAGAGGGAAGGCAGAAATGAAATACCTGTTGGCAGAGTGGTGCGTATTAAGGATACTAGGGATCAGTCGTAAGTGTCGAAATTAAAGACCTCCCTTGGGTTATTCGGCAATAGCTGCCATCTGGATGAAGAATGGCTACCCAGAAAGGTCGTGGATGTCTCACAGTCTGGCAAGAGACTCCGAGGTTGTCCCAAAATCCTCTATGGGTAAGACACACAAAAAATAGGAGCCGCACAGAGAGAATACTCTTACTGAAATGAAGAGGATGTTTTGAACCGGGTTGACTGGCTTATATTGAAGTATTTGAAAGTCAATAATGGCTCCTATTTCAAATCAGAACAGTTTTATTATACATCCTAAAGAAGAATCCTTGTCTGGGACGTTTTTCTACTCCCCCTCTAGTTCAAACTGAGATATCCCGTTAAAGAGCAGAAAATATATCTGGTCGGATGGAGGCTGGGGTAATGCTCTGGAAGAGGGGATTAATGAGGTGATAGATTTCCATAGAATCTATTGCCTTCCAGTGATGTGTTCCTGCACTGTATTCTCTTAGCAATATTTATGGTCATTTCTTTTTTTTAATGGTTATTCTTCATTTATTCTGCAGGATACTAAAATATCAGTAGTGAATTGAGAGTTGTAAATTAATTTATTAAGATGTATTGCTCTGTTGAATGGATTTGGACTGAGATTAGTTTTGTAGAGAGTAATTTTCACCCTGAGAAAGAAAAAGGATGTCTTAGCTGATTTGACCGTTCTGAGTTGAATGAGTGGAGTGAAGGAGAGATGTGATTGAAGCTTGATGTCTGGGTTCGTTATATGATTTTTGAAGGGCTGATCGTTTTGTAAGATTGTTTTGTTTTGTTTTCTTTTTTTTTAGAGAAGAATTTGATGCATCTATTTTTTAGTGTTGAAAATTTTATGTTTGTCAGTTTTTGTGTGATGTGTTGGGATGCATTTTAGCCCTTGTGTAAAGTATACTTAATATTTGTACGAATTGAAAATGTGGAATATCCAAGAATACGCAGTTTCTGGACAGTCTAGTTTATAGTGACTATATGAGTTGTATGAAGGATGTCGTTACAAAGAACGAGCCTTCTGATACGCCAAATGTTGCTGCGCTGGGGATTGAAAAATCATTTCTGACTCGAACATGGAAAGTTCGGTGTCTGATACAGCTTTTGATATCGTTTAGGGTTTAATGTGTTTTGTATTATTCTTATTACATTATTCTTATTTATATATCATTTGAGGTGAAACTGAATGAAAAGGGACAGGATTGACAAAAGAAAATTTTGCGATAATACTAGATTGTTACAAAAGTCTTTGTGCATACCTTCAAAATGAGCCCTTGATCTAAACAAACCATAATGTGAGGGGCTATAAGCAGGACGAGGCAAACCGTTTACTGTCTATAGTACCGATCATTTTTCCTTGGTCAAGCTAGAACAATGTGCAGAGTAATTGTCGTATGTCAAAGCAGAGTGCTTTGTACTCAGACCTGTATCAACTCTATCCAGCTGTTCGCATTGTTTGAAGGTTTGAGTTGAGTCCACTGTCCGACCATTAGAACAAGCTCAAAATGTAAAACGCCTTCAAAGTTACACCAAACACAAAGCATCACTTTTTTTCCAAACCGATCTTGGCAAACCTCCGGTTGTAGAGCTTCGCCAGATCGTACCCACTGGTTATGTTTGCTAGTTTTTTTTTAAATGTCCATTTTTCGTCAATTATGATAATTTTCTTCCAGAACTTGAAACTTGAGCACATATCAACTCGCCCTGGACTTGGACCTTTAACCAATCATGTGGCCGGACCTTGGTCTTGAATTCCATACGCCCTGGTTTTTAAGATGACGAGCCACTGTGAAGTTAGAAGCCCCTATTACGGCCAATAAATCATGAGTAGTTGCAATAGCGGATCCAGGATTTAATTTTCGGGGGGGCTTCAGCCCGAAAGATTTTTTTTTCATATAAATATAACGATAATTAATTTGAAAAAAAGAAAGAAATTAAATACCTATATGAAATGGTATTTAAGTGGTTCTTGAAATCCTATTAAATGTTATTAAACGAACAAGAGTACTTTAAGAGATAGTTTTAAATATTTTTTTCTGTAAAACATGATTATATTTTACCATTTTGGGGGGGGGGGGAGGAGGACTTCAACCCGAAAGCCCCCTCCCCGTAGATCCGCCTGTGAGTAGTTGCATGTGGGTCCTCGTTCACACCTTCGAGAAGACTGTCACCGCCTACGACCGATGGACGACCTAATCTGCCTTCATGTGCAAGGCTCATATTGCCATTGTTGAAAATCCTGAACAAAAGTGCGGCAGTATTTCGATGGATAACTGACTCTTCAAATCACAAATTCCTTCGGCAAATCATGGTTCTTCTTTTGATATTGCACGTTTTTTTAAAAATGTAAATGATCCCATAAAGCCAATCTAAGTCACACGAAATAAAAGGATTAGTCAAAGTAAACATTGACGTAGATAGATAGATAGATAGATAGAAAATAACTCTATTCTGGGACACAGTCCTTTGACAATAACAAAATAGAACCAAATTAAAAGATTACATCTGGCCTATACAAAATCAACAGAAAAAAAGAAATAATGTAAAAAAAAATATAAGGTAAACATTCTATATACAAAATGAACGAAACTATATACAAAACAATTAACACTATGACAAGACACTTAAAGCTATTTGCTACACTTAAAGCTGATAGACCAGTATACAGTTTTAAGAAAACAATAAAGAATATATATATATATATATATATATATATATATATATATATATATATATATATATATATATATATATATATTAAATCCTTTATTAAAATAAGCTTTGTGTTTCTTTTGAGAAACAGAAAGCTGAACCTGATATAAAGTGCCTGATTAATATATAAATACATCATCATCATTTCTTAACGTAACAATAGGCAAGAATTTAGTGGTGTATAAAAGATTATAGTTATAAACTACTAATAGATGCGTTCAGTGAAAGAAAATTAATATCTCTAGCAAAGAATAGCATTGATATTTGACAATGAATGGCATGAAATAAGTGTTGTCAAATGGTTATCAACAATATGACTGTTTTGGGAATATAAACTGGAATAAGAGGGTTCTGAATGGATGGAGAATGTCGAATTTTGGTAGTGAGGGAATTTCAGAAATTGGCAGAGCTAGCAATAAAGGAGTTTTGGAATGAGGCAGATCTGTGAGAAGGCATGCAAAGGTTTGAAGGTCGAGATCTTGTGGAAGGGAATGGACTGAGGATTTGAACTGGAGAAGATTATAGGCGTAAGAAGGACGATGATTGTTTATGATTTGGTAGAGGAACGTACTTAGTAAACACTGTCCTGGAAGTAGGAGAAAAGCCACCTTAACTCAGCGTAGTTGTGAGAGACATGGTAGTATCTTGGGGTCCCAATCACAAGTCTTACGCAGCTGTTCATCAGTCTTTTCAGTCTATCGCGGAGAAATGTAGGGAAAATTCATTACCATTCACAAATTTTCTAATGTAATAAATAAAAAATAATTATAATCGGAACCAGCACTAGCGAATTCTATCAGGGGGCGCGCGCTCCCTTGGACGGTAGAAAAAAAAACACCTATTTAATGAAAAGGTAAATATAGGAGAAATTCATCCTCAAAGACGAATTTTCTGTAATACAAAAAAATCATTATCGTGACCAGTACTAGCGGATCCAGCCAGGGTCTCGCCCCTCTCTCCCCTGGATGGTTGGGAAAAAGTTTCAAAAAGCAGCTATTTAAAGAAAGGAGAAACTCATCCTCATAGACGAATTTTTAATGTAATAAAAAAAAAAGTTATTATCGTGACCAGCAATAGTAATTTCTACCAGGAGCGCGTTCCCCTCTGGATGGTAGACAAATAATTTTGAAAAAAGTATCTAAAAACAGCCATTTAAAGAAAATATAAATATAGGCAAAATCATCCTCTAGGACGAATTTTCTGTGATCAATATTATCATCCTGATCTCGGAAATCCATTACTGGATCTTGGCTGCCTCAAAAGTTTTTCTCCATGTTTCCCTGTCCTGAGCAGCCCCCACCAGTTCCTGCTTTCATGTATTCTGGCATCAGCATTTAATCCATTTTCCATCTCAATTTCGGTCTGTCCACTTTTCTTTTTCCAACCGGCTCCATGCACAGCAGCTTCTTTGGTTTCGTCCATCTGACGAGGGATAACTTGGCCCTTCGATCTCAGCCTTGCTATCCGAATATATTTCTCCACATTCGGCTCATTGTATAAGTTAGCTAGTTCTCCATTCACCATTCTCCTTAACTGGGCCAAATATCCTCCGAAGGACCTTCCATTCAAAAACTAATATTTTAAGCATCTTTTCAATAAAGAAGGAAGAGAAATATAGGAAAAACTCATATACGATGAATATCCTAATGTAATATAAAAAAGAAATATTATCGTGATGAGCACTAGCAAATTCTGCAAGGGCACGACGCTCCCTCTGGATGATGTAAAGAAAATTCCGAAAAAGTTCCAAAAAGCAGGTATTCAAAGAAAAGAGTGTTGTAGTTTTTGGGCCAAGAGATGAGAAGGCTTGTGCTCCTGTCGCAGAGACACCTGGTACAGAGGTGCGCCCCCCCTAAGAAAATTTCTGGATCAGCCACTGGATCTTGGCAAATGCTCCCAATAAATCAGGAGGGAAAAATTATAGGTATATATGAGAATCATCTGCATAAAGGTGGTGGGAACAATGGAGAGTTGATTTATGTAGGTCATTAATGTAGGAGCTGAAAAGGAGAGGAGATGCTTATGCTTATGCTAATGCTTGAACCCTGAGCAACTCCAGAGGATAAAGAAAGGAAAGCTGATAGTGGTTGGTTGGGTATGGAGACTGCTTGGGTAGGCTGTGAGAGGAAAGATTGAAACCAAGAGATGGAACTATTGGAGAAGGATAATAACTTCAGTTTATTGAAAAGGATGGTTAATGCGATCGAAGTCTTTGGAGAAGTTGAGAAGGAGAAGGATACTACATAAATAGTAGGAACCAAAACATTCTCTAGGATTAATGATGAGAGTTGGAATTAAGAGTTGTGTTCATTATCAAGGACTTTTGCAACAACCTAGAACCAGTTTTTGTAGTAATGTAAGTTATGAAATTAGAGTTTTGTATCTGGCAAATATTGAGGTTGTTTGAATCAAAATCTAAGAAAATAAGGTGATGGTTATTTGATGAGGCTTATCACAATTTGGAAAGTCCATAAACCTTTACTGGGAGCATCTTTTATACCAAAATAGGTACCCCTGCAGGTCACTAAAAATAGAGCAGCATAGATCACCAATACTTAAAATAGCAGCACCAAAAAGTATTATTTTCATAATTTATTTTAATTACTTAATTTTTCATGCACTGTAATATAATTTCATATACTCCATTAGTTTTATAGTTGGCAATTTGTATTTAATATGTTAAATATATTGATTTGAAATAGGAAGAACTTTTCATGTATACTGATCGTTTTATTGCTGCTTGCCTTGAAAATAGTGGTAAACCAATGCTTCATTATACAAGATGATGACAGAAAATGGTACTACCCAAATCCTACTGTGGCTAGGGGAGCTGTCGTCAGCAATGGTGGGCCTTGTGCTGCCATTGGACAGTAAGTATTTTATTTCAGTATGATACGATTGATTTATTCAGTTATTTAATGGTTTTATATTTTTCGGTAGTGCAATAAGATTAGCAAAGATGTGCTACACCTTGTAAGCATGATTAAAATTTATTGATCAGTAACTGCTACATCTCATAGTCCAAGTTAATTTTGAAACCTAAAAGATTGTGGCTGAGACAGACACTCTCTTAACAATTTCTGTTGTTTATTGTGATAGCTCCATTCATTTGGTTGCCTTGATAGGAACATTTTGTTGAAAACTACAAAAACTTAAAAATCCCCCTTTCATGATGGCAAGTTTTATTTTAAGGACCATTGTATTTTGTCCTAATTAAAAATTTAATGCTTCTAACAAAAACTTACCCATGATTAATCTGTTTGAAATCACTCTATTTGAATTAATTTTGTTGCTCAACATTTTTTTATTAGTTATTTCCTATTTAATGGTGAGTTCGAAATTATGCTTAATAATGTTTAAGGCTTATATTTTTTTGTAAGAGACTTCACAGCTCTTCTTTTAAGCCTCTGTCACAACAAGTTTTGCTTTGTTTATCCGTTGAGAGTATCGCTACTAGGTTTTGTCGTTTTTACTTTCTACATATCCCTTCCACACAATTTGTACAGCTTTCACTTATTTATTCCACCATTCTGATCTTTTCCCCTTGGAGGAATATCTCTTGATGCCAAATACTGCTGTACGGTATTGTTGCTTGTGCAGAATCTTATCTCTGATATCATTTCATCATATCTCATCTAGTGTTTCATCAGGGTTATGAATGATTTCAAATAAATTAACTTCCATTCAATTTAGACTTTTGAGATACAATATAGTCATACATAAAGGATGGTATTAGGTGCAATTAATAATATATTTCATAAATAAAAATACTATAGAGTTAGTCTAGTACAAGATTAGACAGCTCTGAATTACATATTAGACATTACCAAATACACATTCATTGTTATTTCAGGAAAATTATGAAGAAATATGGCAATGCTGTGGATAGCCTAATTGCAACAATGATTTGTGATGGGCTTGCTTGTCCATATGCTATGGGAGTAGGAGGTGGTTTCATAGCAACTTTATATCTGAAGAATGAATCTAAAGTGGTGACAATTATTGCTAGGGAGACAGCGCCTGCTGCATCAACTGCTGATATGTTTGTTAATAACTTCACCTTAGCCCAGAGAGGTAATTTTCTTTTTCTTTTTTTTTTTTTACTGGAAAATTGTACTAAAACTAGTAAGAAATGTTTTCTTAAGAGATTAAAAACTTTATTAGGTGGTCTAGCAGTGGCTGTTCCTGGAGAGATGAAAGGCTATTGGGAGCTATACAAGAAGTATGGAGGCAAAGCCCCTTGGAAAGAATTGTTTACTGATTCCATTAAATTGTGTGAGGAGGGTATCCCAGTAGATAAAGATCTTGCTGTTGAAATAAGGAAAACGAGGGATGAAATTTGGAAAACACCTGGGTTAAGGTGGTGATTTATTCTTAATGTTACCAACACAATGTATGTTTATTAATTTCAAATTAAATTAAAAATATATTTAAACTTCATGATTTACAGATAATATTGATGTGTCCATTCAGCCTCATGTTATAATGAACCATAGCTTTGACTAATATTGTTCTAATACTTTTAATAACTGGGTTATATTAAATATAATATTTTAAACATATATCCTTGAACCATAAGTTGCAAAGTACCAAATTCCATATTTCAAGTAACCAGTTGCAAAGCACAATTAAATTTCAAAAATAAGTTGTTCTAGGAAAAGGCTTGTAATGCCAATTTTTGTAACTGTGATTAATTTCTGACAGTTATTTTTAAAATCGCAGTAGACTTTTTCTATTTAAAAGTTGATAAAAATAATTTTTCTTCTGGTTCAAGTTATTTACTAATAGGTACACATACATGAACTATTTGACTTTGAAGTATCAGACACTAGTTAGGGAATTAATCATGTGATTGGAGAAGATTCATAAAAAATCATTAACTTGTATATTACATTTTCAGAAAGATGTTAGAAAACGATAGAGGAGAACTCGCTCAATATGGAGATGTTATTAAGCTACCGACATTAGCCAAAACATTTAAAATAATTGCAGAAGAAGGCCCTGATGCACTTTATAAAGGTTCTCTTACTGCAGGCTTTGTAAAAGATATTCAAGATAATGGAGGGATCATCACTGAAGAAGATATGAACTCATACCAGTAAGAATTTCGCATATTTTTATCTTCTATAAATCAATGCTCTATTCAATTTTATTAAAAATATGAACTAAATTCTAATGATGAATAATTCCTCAGCCTCTGTTTTAGAAGTCAATGCTTCAAAAATTGAATGCATTGTATATTATTAACTTAGTTTTGTTTTATTTTATTACTGATTATCATTAGCGTATTCATTTATGTAAGGGGATATGATTTTTTAATGTAAATCTCATTGTTTTATTTTTATTAAAACTGAGCTGTTATTATTTGTATTTTTTATAGTCATAAATTATCACATCAATGTTTTGGTTTATACACATGTCTATTGTATGGTATAAAACTATTAGTATAAACAAAAAACTAATAATTTGATTTATTACTTTCACTTACCTACATATGAAATATTTTATTCTGGTTCAAGTTATTCACTAATGGGTACACATACATAAACTATTTGACTTTGAAATATCAGTCATTACTTAGGAATTAATCAGATGATTGGAGAGGATTCATAAAAAATCATTCATATATATGAATCCTCTCTATATATATTCATATATAGAGGATTCATATATATATATAATAATAATGTCACACCAATCAATGTCTAAATTGATTAACCAGAAATGGTACTTTATATTTAATCGATTTTTACATTTTTTTTTTTTATTTACTCCTCTAATAATTTTGATTAAACTTATATCAATGTAAAAAAATTTTCCTGGTAAAAAAAAAATTATTAAATAAGGGTAGCAATATGTGATGATCTTAGATGATTTTAGACAAAATGATATCTAATATATAAATTCATAGAAGGTAGTAGAGTAACAAAAAACTAATTGCTTATAAAACTCATATTCTAAATTAATAATACAAAGATGAATTTTATTTGAAATCCGATATTATTTAATAAAGATTGAATGTCTCCTGGCAGTGCCTATGGTGACTTGGTTTTTTTTTTTCTGTGATAAGAATAATAAATTCAATCTACCTTGTAAGAACCTTATGTATGAATAATAACGAAAAAATATATTAGTGAAATTAATTTTAAGCCTTATTTATGTTAATTCTAGCTTAGATATCAATTTATTTTTGAAAAAAATATAAATTATTATACCTGAAATCAGAGGGAATACAGAAATATATTTGGAAAGAGATTATAACTCCAGGATTAGTACTCATAATTGAAATATACTGTCAGTTTATTGCAAAAAGTGATATTTCATAACCTCAAATCACTAAAAATGTTGATGAGTTTTCTCTTTGTGAAATCAGATATTGTGAACATGTTGTAATTAAATTTAATATATAAATTTCTTCATCTATTCCATCAGATCTGATATTAATGGTTCCTAGGCACCGAAAAAAGTGCTTGTTTCATTCCAATGCTTTATCTATTACTCTTCTAATGGCAAAGATCCGGCATCTGTCTACTGTGTTGGAATCCTGGCTGTTCTCAACAATTTTTTTAAGTCTTCTTCTCAGAATGCATGTGTATGGTTTTGAATAGATCCTTTTTTTTTTTTTTTTTAATAATTAAATAATAATATAATCTTCCTACTAAATTTAAAAATAATTAATAATACTCATTGTACAATGCTATGAAAAATATTCTATAACATTTATAATTACTTATTATTCAATAATTTTGTTCTCTTTATAATCGTTTATTTTTTTTTTTTTTTTTATTGAGGGTTCGTTGGGAAGAACCTGTTCATTTGAAATTGTCTTCAGGACTCAATTTTTATTCTGCTGGACCACCTGCTTCAGGCCAAATACTCGGTTTCATATTGAGAGTGTTAGATAATACTTTTAAACCAGATATGAGTTTGCTAACTAAAGTCTCTATAATTACTGAAACATTCAAGTATGCTTATGCGATGAGATCTCAATTTGGAGATCCATACTTTACAAATATCAGTCAGGTAAGATAATAGTAAAGTCATTTTTATAATTACAAATAAATTTAATTTAAAAACCTATTCATTATTCCAAAAAAGAGATGTTATTTCATTTTTTGCATTCCTTTTCATTACAATGAGATGTTTTCTAATGGATTTTGTTTCTTAATATAAAGTAATATTAAAATTTAACTTCATGTTAGTCATGATCAATTTTTTTATTTATGACATTGGCCAAACTTTCGTTTTCCCCAACTTTATTATTTTCAATAACATCAATGAATTTGTCCTTGTTGAGTATAAAATGAAAGTCCTACATATCCACACTACTTGAATATGCTGAAGAACTCTTAAAAATTGCATCCAAATATGCCTAGAAAAGGGTGAAAAAGTACAAAATGCAGCTCTTCAAATAACTCGAGCACTTAAGTCTACTCCTCTGAGGCATTAAACTTTTCAAGGGAAAAGAATGCCTTGTACATATATGAACAACTTGTATGACTACCCCTGACAGAATTGAACATGCAACTCAATGGCTATAGCAAGAATGATATAATAAATAAAAAACTGTATGAATAAACTAAACTGAAAAATGTTATCACTCAGACACTACCATAAAGATGATCAACAGGAGAGAAGAACTAAATAGAGTTAGAATGAAGTTGCAAGAGCAATAATAATAGCAAGAGTTCGTACACCTGTAGAAAATGAAATGAAAATAAATATTTATTATTTTGGGGCTGTTGTTCCTTTAGGACAAATTATAGATACAGAAGAAATGCCTGTGTGGCCATAAAATTAAGTTAAATATTTACAATTCTCATTAAAATTAAAATATTGGAAGAAAAATAAAACAAAAACACTAAAAACATACATATATATATACATATATATATATATATATATATATAATATATATATATATATATATATATATATATATATATAAAATAACATAAGTAAACAAAGTCATTTCTGGGTGAACTTAAAAAGTTCTCTTATCTACTTTTCATGATCAATCGATTTGGGAAAGAAGTAGGTGCTTAAAAAGGAGAGATTTAAATGAGGGAACTGATTGTGCATGTCGGATATCGGGAGGGATGGTATTCCAGATGGAGACGGCTTGAATTATATTTGTCATACGCAGCAGTTCGATGAGGAGGTGGATCAAGAGGTCAGAAGTACGGGATCTAGTGGGACGGGATTGAATGGAATATTTAAATTGTAGGCTGTGAAAAATATTGCTATAGAAAGGTAGCAAGGAAGTACAGACAGTGCGGAAAAGGGTAAATTTTATGAAACCATGGATTGAACAATGAACCATTGACCGAATTATGACATGAAAATCATAGCTGCAACCTTCAATGCAAATCTGGTTAAAGAAATCTTTTACTTCCCAACAATCAGGCTGTATAGTCTCTGTCAGGAAGCTAACAATCATGTACAAAGGCTCGTTGGGTTATCTGCTTCTTGATACTTGACAATTGGAATCACATTCTTCCCTTATAATGACATATAATAGGGAACTTGAAGATCCCCAGGCAGGAAAAGAGTTAACCAAATTGACCACTTCCTGATATCATCCAGAAACTGGTAAAATCTTCACAAAGTCCATACACATCGAAGAGTAATATGATAATAGGAATGGACTCTATCAGATTATAGTACTAAATCTAATTGACTGTATCTTCTTGCTTAATAATCATAGGTTAGGAAGGTTCTTAAAACTCAATACTGCAAAAATAATGGAAGAAGAATCCTCAGTGTAACACCGATCTAGCCTAGAGTCCCATCACGGACTGATTCCCGCCTCAGAACTTGGTATGGATGACAATTGGAATGTGATTAGGTGAGCTATGATAGATAGTGAAGAGGAAACATTAAGACCCTAACAGCCATAACATCTTCCATGGGCACACCCAGCCTCTGGAAAGTGGGTACTCTTAATAATTAAAGGGAAAAACCTGACTATTGAGAATGATCTCAATCAAATCAGCTTCTTACACAGTAGTTGACCAAGATACAGTTATTTGCAAAGTACTGAAATTATAACCCTTCATGCCTTTTAAAGTACTGAATTCAAAAACATTTTTTTGATTAATAATAATAATAATTTTTATTGCTCAAAAATACAAAACTTTATGGTAAGGAATTGACTAAATTAGCTTCTTTATTTTAAATTAACTTTGAATTTCTTAAATTAACATTTTAAACTTCTTAAATTGACATTTTAAACTTCTGCTGAAGATACATCCTCATTTTTTTATTATTATAATTAAATTGTTTTGTAATTAGTATTTATATCTTATAGATTCTACAGAAAATCAATGATCAGGTTTTTATTGATAAAGTTAAACAGGAAATATTATCAGATAAAACTAATAATGATCCAGTACACTATGGGGCCCACTATTATGGTAATGACGACAATGGAACTGCTAATATTGTAGTGATTGCTCCAAACGGTGATGCTATTTCAGCCACAAGTACCATTAATACAGAGTAAGTCAATTTCAATTGATGTTATAATCCAAAGGTCTTCAAACTATAGTTAAAACTATTTTTTGCAGTAGTTTGTTATTATTCATTATAGCTTAACATCACAATACTGCATACATCCATATTGCACGAGCGGTATGAGCGGTTGGGAATAAATACATAAATAAGTTACAACTATTTTTTATCTTTTTATTTTTATGTAACAATTTATTATAATGAAAGAAACATGAACTGATTTTTAAATATGACCAATTTCTTATAGATTTGGAAGTTGGGTTGTATCAGAGAGTACTGGCATATTACTAAACAATCAAATGGATGATTTCTCAACACCTGGTTTAGTGAATAGTTTTGGAGTTCCTCCATCAGATACAAATTTTATTAAGCCAGGAAAGCGCCCACAATCATCAGTTTGTCCAACCATATTCCTTGATAAAAATGGTGATGTTCGTTTGGTTGTTGGTGGAGCAGGTGGAACAAAAATAACAACAGCAGTTGCCTTGGTTAGCATCATAGAAATTTAATTGAATTTAAGCCTAAAAGCAAGTGATGACCTATATAATAAAATTTCAGACAATTATTAGCAACATTTGGCACCACAAATCTATTGTCGAGGCCGTGGATCTGCCAAGATTTCACCACCAGCTAATGCCAATGGAATGGTTCTATGAACCACCAGTGCCAAAGGTAAATAAGTTAAATTAATTAGTTCAGATGCTTGACCTTTCATTACATTAAAGTTCTTCAACATTATCCACGGGTCATATTGGATTTGTGGATAAATTAGGTGCTGAGTTTTACTGGTTAAATATTTTAATAATTTTACATCCTAGATATGCAAAAGGGAACTAGATGTAAACAAATTCAAGTGATTGAAGTATATAGTTGTAATTGAACATGATTAAAATGTACTCGCAATTGCAATAATGCGAGTTCTAGGTTAGGACACCCTAAAGGGACTGGTTGATTGAACAATTACATGAAAACTTCGATACCTACATCAATGTATAATTTCCATCCTAATGAATATTTTTTTTAAAAAGTATATTTTTTAAATTATAATTCTTTTTTATTTATAGTTTTAATTTTTTTTCTGTGTTGAATTTTTGTTTATAATAAAAAAAAATTGGGTATAATTATAGCAATTAAAAATGAGAGGAAAGAATAAATAGTGGTTACTTTATGACTTTTCTGTATATAGTACTCAATGGTGACAGATTGTAATAATTATGTTGATGGAAAATGTTTAGAAAAGTAATATTGGTAGTGATATTAACATATTGATACATCTATGGCTTAATGATCCATTAATGGGCCTGTGACTTCTGAAGAGAACAGATGTTAAAAAACTCCTTCCACTTCTTACTACCTTATCCTTGATTGCCATACTCTTCCCTTGTTGTGTACTACTGCAATCACTATTTTCAAAAGCATTTCAGTCCTACATTCTAGTCATATTACTAGCCTATCAAAGATGACTAATCTTCACCTGACGACCTATAGTCAATTGGGCTTCTTGGCTTTCGTTCTTTTCTAATTTCCCAATTTTATGGCTATATATTTTCATTCGGGGGGTTAATTTAAATATGAACTAATGGCTCTCATCACAAATGGCAGGCAGATAAATATTTCAGCACTGGAGCAGAAATAAGTGTGTTTTTAATAAATTCAATATATGTGAGGACGTAATTAGAAAATAAACTTTGCCTATATTATATTTATTTTATTATTAACAATTATGTTCTACAATTAGCTTTTAAACTTTTTCTCCCTTTTGCTTTAAACATAAAAACATAAAACATAATATACTGTTTTTTTTTATTAGTATATTGTATGGGGTATGAAGGCTCGTGGCCATACTGTGAAACTCTGGGACTCATATGCTGTAGTGACTGCAATATCTAAGAATGGAGAAATATTAAGTGCAGCATCAGACAGGCGTCGCCCAGGAAACACATCTTATTTGTTGCCTCCTTAATATTTGTAAATTAATCTTGAATTAGTAAATAACAATAAATTCAATACATTTTGTTTATGAAGATCAAACATTGTTACCGAGTATAAATGTGTACTCTTGATGTATATATTTAATTTGCAATAACTTGTTAGTGTAAGAAATGGGATATGACAAATAAATGTTTTCATTTTTTTTTATTATTTTATAAATGCTATTTTCATGATAGAATCACTAAATTATAATTAATAAATAGTAATAAATGCCTTAACCTCTTTACATGGCAAGACGAATTTACACACGTTGTTGTTAAATACATGAACTTTTTTTTTCTCATTTCTGGAATATGGGGGAGGGAGGGATGTTCTAGTACAACCAAATACATTCTAATTAGAGTGGACAGATTGAGGTTCATTCCATGTGCCCACCACTGAATAAATTTCAACCAACCAGGCAGGATTAGAACCTGTATTGCTGGACTTTGGAAGTGAGTGACTCTTAAACATACTTGGCCATCACAGCGTCATTAAATTCATGAATCATGCAAAAAGAATAATAAACAATTTATTGTGATTAATATAGTTTATAAGTGATTCGTATATGTTTGAAAAATAATGTGTTCTCCCTTTGAGCGTCTTTTCTACTTCATTGGTGGTTTGGATTGAGTGATTTTTGTTTACCTCCCGCATTTATTATCATCCAATTATATATGGAGGAGAGAACATATCAACCATGTTATATGAAAAAGAACAATCTGCATTTTTGTTAAAGGGCCAATTTCCATTGAATTTTAATGAGAAAATAAAAAAGCCTACATGAAAGAGCTATTCTATAATATAACAGAACAAATAAAAGAACATTAAATTGCATACAAAACTAAAAAAGAAGAGAATAATGGTAGGGCCAGAGGTGAGGTCGAAACTCCTTGGTTTTCCTCATTCATTCTCTCACTATGCCAATGATGAAGATTGTATTTATTTCAGGTATTGACAGTTGATTTCAGTAGACTTCTAATTATGGTAATCTTCTATCTACATAACTTCGTTTCTGCATTGATCCTTCTCTTCCACATGCCATTCCGAAATATTTTCCTATATATATTCTTCTAAATCCGAATATCAAAGTTGATTTTTTTCAAAAGAGATCATAAATATTTCTTTATGATTTATTAGTATAATTTCAGATTTTATTCCCTATGCTATTTTCCATGGTAGCAGACTACTTATAGCAGTTGTAAGCTACAAAATGTCACCTTTATCACAAATAGAATAAGAATGAAAAATTGTTGCATACAACCTTTTGCACTAACAGTTGCAATATATTATTTCAGAATTCAATAACAGTGAGTTTTGACGGAGATTTAATTATTTCAAATAAACAACATTAGAGGGTGTGGAGATGGTTGACTATTATGTAATACAGTGTTTTATATATTGACCACAACCCCGACTAACTTCTTCTGAAAACAAATATTAAAGGTACTTTAGAGGAATCAATATTTAAGGTAAATGTACCTGATTATTGTAACAGATACATTAAGAGAATTTTTCAGCATTAGTGTGAATTACGATATAAATTCTGATGGTAGATGTTTGCAAATAATTGGCAACAAATTTTAGTCATTTACAAATTTCATTTTTTCTATACTGTCAATTAGCTTATTATTCATGAAAAACTAAAGAAATTCTGACAGTGTATTTCTTACCCTCAATAGACAATCAGTTTTTGAAATCGACATATTTTTTTATGTAATTAAAAAAAACAAAATAAATGCTGCACTGTTTTAAACAAGGAAATGGCAAAATACAGATAAATAAATAAAAAATTCAAACCTATCTCCTAAAGAAAAGTGATAAGGAAAGCTGTCTGAAACAAACACTCAGTCTTGGTCCATCGAAAAATCAACCAATCCGCTATTGTTGCATGATATCATCTGAGGTTCAGGCATCACTCTTCTGAGTGTTCTCATTTAAAATCTAATCGTATTTGCATTCTCTTTTGGAATCATAAAGTTAAACGAACTATTACTGGTACATTTACTCTGAAGTCTGTCAGACTATTTCAATGAGGATAAAATCTAGCTGATATTAATAATCATTTGATTGTACTTATAATGAATTGATAAAGATTATTATTATTATTATTATAGAGATGATAATTATTATATCAATAAAGATATAATGAGTTCAATAAAAATCATTGGAGCCGTTTTGGAGGAAATTTTTAGATCAATTGTAAACTGTGGAATATTCCAGAGGTTAATTTCAGCCAAAAAAAAAAAAAAAAAATGCTATAATATCCTCATTATATACTCCATCTTAAATATGTAATTTCAGTTGTTTACTTTCACTTACCTATATATAAAATATATAGTAAGAGTAAGTATTGTGATCATGAAAATTTTCGAATCTGAGTTTTCAACAGAAATACGTGTTTTGAGGTCTTCTGAGTCAAAATAATTAAGTCCCAAAAAATGGTCTGTGTGTGTGTATGTGGTCAGTCTAGCTCAAAAACGAAAAGTCATATGAAAGTGAAATTGCATATTTAAGGTTTTTATAAGCCTTCGATGTTACAGCATTATTTTCGTCAAAATCGGCAAACCGGAAGTGGTATTGTATATAATCTATTTAACACATTTTTACGATTTACTCAAAAACGAATCTAACGATTTTGATTAAACTCAGTATATCAGTGTATTATTAAGCAGTTTTTAATATAATGTAGGTTTTATTGATGTTCCTTAACAGGAATTAAATGGCTAATTTCCAATATTAGCTTCCTCTAAAGTACCTTCATTTTTTTTATTTGAATTAATTAACAATTTCACATTAATTCTTGATATAAAAAATAGTTAAATATAGAATATGAAATAATTTTATTATTAACTAAAGGAGAAATAGGAGATAGTTATCGATAATAGTTGTAATAGAGGAATCAAAGTAATACGAGCGCGTCCGAAAGATTTCAACAGGCTTCCATACCTAACATGAGCTTAATATAATAAGGACTCCGACAGTATTATATACATATACATATGCGGTTTTTATAAATGCTATCGTTGGTATTATATAATATTTAGTTGTATAGAATACAGCGATATAAAAATTAAAATTTGTATATATAAGGGTATTTAAACAAATAAAAATACCCACTATGAAATGTAAATAAATATAGCGTCTATAGTTTTTACTTTCTCTCCCTCTCTCCCTCTCTCCCTCTCTGTTAGAAAATAATTACTTCGGCTAAGAAGAAGGTGGAAGTCTTGTGATGCGCGCACCAGATTTTATAACATCTTTTCATTTTCGAGCTAGTCTATTGACTAGCTCATCTTCTTCTTTTTTAATCTTGAAGATATACTTCTCCCTCAGCAACTAGTTACCTCCATTTGAAGGAAAATTCTCTCAGTTTAAAGTGTAATTTAAGTTTGCCACAAGTTGTGAGATTAATGTGTAAAATAGTTGTTAAGCAGTTGGCCTTTATACACGGTGGGCCAGACCCCCTTACCGTGCACCCCCCCCCCCCCACATCCCTATAAATTGCATATCGTTGTGTTCCTTGTGACAATTTATTAAAAAAAAACCAATGTTCCCACAAAAAAAAGTGAACGAACTGCCCCAAAATGGCGTCCAAACATGACGGATTGACGACTTTGATTTTAGTTAGTTTTTTTGTTACTGAGAATCAGCATTTGGCTTAATTTCATCATAGTTGGTCTTTTATTAAAGCTGGATAATCAGAGAATAATAAAACATGAAAAAATATTAAAAACTAATTGGTTTAGGCATTAAAAAAAATCGGTAAAGTCAATTTTTTTATAAAAAAATTTTCAAGTTGAAAATCAAGCGTCGTTTGTAATTAAACGGTCAACAATAATGCAAAACGTGCTGAAATAAAACATCTGGAGAATACATTTCTCTTTCTAAAACACTGATTACTTTTTAAAATATTTGAAGTAGTTACTGGAGTAGGCGCCTTCAGGCCTCTACCACACCACTCAGTACTCATAAATGGCTTAGTTATAGTGCTATAATAACGTTTTTGTTATATTATATTGATTGTATTAACGAACGAATATTAATACAATAATTTAATTGTCAAATTTTTTTTTTAATTTATTATTATTTTTTTATTTATTATTATTTATTTTTTTTTAATTTAACTTCCTTTATTCTATACGGAGGTCGCTTAAGAAGGCCTCTATTATAAAAATTATATAATTATAATAATAAAACTTAATTCAAAAATACTTTGCAGAATATCTTGAATTTTTTATTTAATATTTGCAATTTAACATTTTGTTTTATATATTTACTGATTCTTAGAGGTAATTTAAATTGTATATACTTCCCCGAAAATGAGTCATATTAATATCTGTTTTATAAACTAAAATAATATGTACCTAATCTGAACTACTTTTAATGAATAGGTGATGGATTGTTTAGTAAAATTCATATATCGCTATTAAAAAAAATAATTTTTATTTCCTTTATTTTTTTCGGAAGTTGGACCATATCACAAAAAATACGAAATTTTAAGATTAAATGCATTTTTCTCTCTGCATTCTCTCTGCACAAAAGAAATATGGAAAGGGCGAAGCTATAAGTTCTTCTAGGTAACTATAACTGATTGTTAGTATTGCTCTCAAAATGAGGAAAAAGTCGAAATTGAACCCAAACATTGGAAAAATACATTAAGCGAACGACAGTGGCAAAATGTCGGAAAAGAAAACAAGGATCAATATCCGTTATATGGCTAAACGAATATATAGTAGACAGATGAACAGAATATTTCAAGATGATGCTAAAAGGGGGTCAAAATGCTTGATCAGTTTGGATGATATTAAGCAGGTTTATTATGGTGAAGACCATTTTATCAGCAAGAAAGATTTGTTCTAGGTAATTGGCAAGCAAGTTTGGAGGAAGTAAACGAGGTTTATAATGATGAAAACCACTTCATTTTAGATTGCTATTGAAGTTGCACCTTATGACTATCTTCACTTTGAAGCAGGTTATAGAGATTTGAGTAGACTTTCTTTGGTACTATAAACAGTAAGGAATCTCGAATAACATTTCCTAGTATCTCATTTCCTGTAAAGGGACAAAACTACAGTCCTTTCATATCATTTTCTAATACATTTGTAGCCTTTGTAGGCACCGCATTTTTTCGGGTTACTTCCTCCAAACTTGCTTGCCACTTGCTTAGAACAAATCTTTCTTGCTGATGAAATGGTCTTCGCCATAATAAACCTGCTTAATATCATCCAAACCCATCAAGCATTTTGACCCTCTTTTAGCAGCATCTTGAAATATTCTGTTCATCTGTCTACTATATATTCATTTAGCCATATAACGGATACTGATCCTTGTTTTCTTTTCCGAAATTTTGGCACTTCTTTTGTCGTTCACTTAATGTATTTTTCCAATGTTTGGGTTCAATTTCGACTTTTTCCTCATTTTGAGAGCAATACTAACAATCAGTTATAGTTACCTAGAAGAACTTATAGCTTCGCCCTTTCCATATTTCTTTTGTGGAGAGAGAAAAATGCATTTAATCTTAAAATTTCGTATTTTTTGTGATATGGTCCAACTTCCGAAAAAAATAAAGGAAATAAAAATTATTTTTTTAATAGCGATATATGAATTTTACTAAACAATCCATCACCTATTCATTAAAAGTAGTTCAGATTAGGTATATATTATTTTAGTTTATAAAACAGATATTAATATGACTCATTTCGGGGAAGTATATACAATTTAAATTACCTCTAAGAATCAGTAAATATATAAAACAAAATGTTAAATTGCAAATATTAAATAAAAAATTCAAGATATTCTGCAAAGTATTTTTGAATTAAGTTTTATTATTATAATTATATAATTTTTATAATAGAGCCCTTCTTAAGCGACCTCCGTATAGAATAAAGGAAGTTAAATTAAAAAATAAATAAATAATAATAAATAAAAAAATAATAATAAATTAAAAAAAAAATTTTGACAATTAAATTATTGTATTAATATTCGTTCGTTAATACAATCAATATAATATAACAAAAACGTTATTATAGCACTATGACTAAGCCATTTATGAGTACTGAGTGGTGTGGTAGAGGCCTGAAGGCGCCTACGCCAGTAGCGCTTTTCTGCCGCTTAAGTACATTTTCTACGGAACTACTTCAAATATTTTAAAAAGTAATCAGTGTTTTAGAAAGAGAAATGTATTCTCCAGATGTTTTATTTCAGCACGTTTTCATTATTGTTGACCGTTTAATTACAAACGACGCTTGATTTTCAACTTGAAAATTTTTTTAATAAAAAAATTGACTTTACCGATTTGTTTTAATGCCTAAGCCAATTAGTTTTTAATATTTTTTCATGTTTTATTATTCTCTGACTAACCAGCTTTAATAAAAGACCAACTATGATGAAATTAAGCCAAATGCTGATTCTCAGTAACAAAAAAACTAACTAAAGTCAAAGTCGTCAATCCGACATGTTTGGACGCCATTTTGGGGCAGTTCGTTCACTTTTTTTTGTGGGAACATTGGCTTTTTTTTAATAAATTGTCACAAGGAACACAACGATATGCAATTTATAGGGATGTGGGGGGGATGCACGGTAAGGGGGTCTGGCCCACGGACTATTAGTTTGTTACCACTGAAATCAATATGCATTCAAATAAAAAATAACACAGACATTTTTGTCCTTGTAATACTCTTTAAAAATGTAAGCCAACAAACAATGCTACAGGCGAGAGAAAACGGGTTAATATTCCTTTCGACATTCTCCGTTTGTTTTCATACTCCTCTTCAATTCTTAATATAAATAAGAAATCGAAGAGGACCGTCCTTTCTGTTGGTTTTGAGAAACCAGTGTCGATAGTTGGCTGCAGCAGAAGAGATGAAAATAATCGATAAATTCACAAATGTTTTTAAATATATTGACACAAGCGATGAGGCGACAGATCGTTTTATTGACGAACAATATAAAGGATTGCTACAAATATGCCTTCTTTATACCAAGTTTGATAAAAAGAATGTCTATAAGAGCTGCTTTCAATATTTAGTATACGTGACAATAATACTGTACCATTGGATTTTCGCTATAGAAGGTTTGATGGCCACTATCGGTATAAATTTCGTCTTATACTCCAAAGGTGCGTATTACTTCTTGGTGATTCAGATGTCAGGTTTAGGAATCGTGACGCTCACTATGAACCGCAACGCACTGGTGAGGTTCCACCGAACCATGGCAAAGAACTTCTATGACTACAAAGAAAAGAATACAGATTTCATCGACAGGCTGAGAAAAGAAACGGAAAAAGAGGTGAAGCTGTTCTCAATGGTACCTATAAGTACCGTTGTTGGTGCTGTCACTGGCTTCGTCCTATCACCGATCTTGGACAAATATGGTACTTACATAGTCGAAGACGTCTCGCACCACCTCAATATAAACCTACCAGCTCCTTTCATTGCTTATCAGTTCTCTACTCACACTCACGCAGGGTTCTTTTTCGCTTATATTTTACAAGTGAGTACAGGAAGTATTGTGATATTCATAATCGGGGGCGGGGGTTATTTGTACATAGTAATGGTCCAAAATGTCCATTGCCAGTTGAAAATTTTGATCCATTCGATAGAAAAAATCGAAGAACGGGCAGATGAATATTATTATCAAATTAGCGGCTTAAAGATGGAATATAATGATCAAAACAAGTTTGCGGACAAGCTATATGACTTCTGTTATAATGAATGTTTAAAGAAGAATTTTGAACACCATCAAATTATATTAAGGTATCTTCATATACATTTATTATTGTTTTCCATACAAAAAAAAATTTTCCAACAAAACCAAAATTATTCTACTACCCATGATAGGTTCATAACTATATACCACTAGCGGATCCAGGATTTAATTTTGGGGAGGGGCTTCAGCCCGAAAGATTTTTTTTCGTCAAACATATAACGATAATTAATTTGAAAAAAAAGAAAGAAATTGACTACCTATATGAAGTGGTGTTTAAGTGGTTCCTGAAGTCCTATTAAATGTAATTAAACGAACAAGAATACTTTAAGAGATAGTTTTTAATATTTTTTTCTGTAAAACATGGTTATATTTTACCATTTGGGGGGGGGAGGAAGGGGCTTCAGCCAGAAAGCCCTCCTCCCCCCGTAGATCCACCTGTGCTATATACGAAAATACCATTACTTTAGTATCGGGTAGAAGTGGGATTAAAATCCAAGTGGACCAGGGGGCCGTTAAGTTTACTTACAAATGAATTCAGTAAACAAGTGAATTTTATTTTATCCTTTATCCTCATAATTACAATTTAGTACTAAGTTTCATATTTTTATTATCTTCATTCGCTTTCGTTGGTTGTTATATAGTCAAGGTGTAAAACCTGTTGGTTATTAATTTTTATTTAAAATTAACACGTTAATTAAGTTAAAAAAAGGAGAGAGGGTGCGATGTGTGAGGTGTTCATTCGCTTTTTAATATTATTGACCAAAAATAAAATACATGAAATATTATTAAAATTAATTATTTAATAATATTTAATCTTAATATGTATATATATATATATATATATATATATATATATATATATATATATATATATATATATATATATATATATATATACATATGATTATTATTATTTCTGAAAGAAATAAAGTTAATTTTATCCATTATGTAATAATAGTTGTAAATTATTTTATTGATTAATTTGTATATTATATTATTAGATCGTATAAATTATATATTATATTATGAGAAGGAGTTAATCGGGGAGGGGGGGAGTGCGGTCATATAAATACTAAATTAAAATATAGTAATTATTTAATTACTTAATTAAATCGTAATTATTTAATTAATTAAATAATTACTATATTTTAATTTAGAATTTATTTGACCGCACCCCCCGATTAACTCCTCATATTATATCAACGGTCGACCATCTCTACATCATTATATATTATATTAATTAATGCATTATTTTGACTGTTATATTAACTATTGTGCCGTATTAATTGTTATATTACGTTATATTAAACTAATAATTAATGTTAACAGTAGCGTAATCATGGTGGAACATACCCGATGCCAACATCTAAACAATCTTTTCGCAAAATATCAAGTAATTTCTAAAGTTTCAATAAAACATTTTAAAAACAACATTTAACATAACAAACCACTAAGAGAAAACAAAAATACCAATTTATATTTAACAGAAGACCTTATGAGGTCTCTAGACCAAGCTGCAAGCTGCATTTTAGCTAATTTTCGGCAAAATTTATCGCAGCTGAAATAATGAGTGGCAAATTAGGAAGGTCCCTTGCGGTCTACTTAAGTATCCCAGGAACAGAAACATCCGTCAGTTTTCTATCTAACTACTCTGATTTATCCCAAAATTTTTGATTGGTTGTTTTTAAATTATTGTTTGTGTTTTTTTTTTAACTTATCTTGATGGAGGAATTGGATATTTAATGGATGTCAGCTACTGGAGCCTTATAATGGGGACTTTTTTCAGTAGTTGACAGGCCTGTATTCACACAAATTTAAAGAGATACACTCAATATAACGGGTCTTAAAAATTCACTACTGTCCCGTCAAAAAAAAGTCTAATGATTTGGATTAAATATATAGCAAAAATAACCTTATCTATTACCAAAAACATATTCTTGATAGTGGCCAGCATTTATTTATGAATTTAAGTCGGGAAACGCTAGAAGTTAGTTTTATAATAAGTTAAAAGTAATTTTTATTAATCTTAAAGTGAATAATATAAAATTTCTCTTTAGTAAATTATTTTTCTCATCTCTGTCAGCTATAGGAACATTTCAAATCAGTGTCAGCTACTGGCACAACAAAACTATTCTGTTAATTTTCAATTTTTTAAAGTTTAGATAAACGTTTCATGGATTTGAAATATGTCTTGGTAAGGCGAGAAATAGTTCTAAGAGATGAATCCATGAGAAATATAACAGCATCAATACTTACGTTATTACACATAAAAGTTCAATGAAATTTCCTTAAGCATGTCATCTACCACTAGCGGATCACGGATTTAATTTTGGGGAGGGACTTCAGCCCGATAGTTTTTTTTTCATATATATATATATATATATATATATATATATATATATATATATATATATATTATATATATATATATGTATATATATATATGTGTGTGTGTGTGTGTGTAACGATAATTAATTTGAAAAAAAAAAGAAAGAAATTAACTAACTATATGAAATGGTGTTTAAGTGGTTCTTGGAGTCCTATTAAATTTAATTACACGAACAAGAGTACTTAAGAGATAGTTTTTTCAGTAAAACATGGTTATATTTTACCATTTTCGGGAGTGAGTGGGGGGGCTTCAGCTCGAAAGCCCCTCCCCCCTCGTAGATCCGCCTGTGTCATCCACTGGTCATTTATCTTATGTAACTATTTTATTGATATCTAAATATTACTTTTATTTACATTGTCATTTATATTCAAAGATAATAATATATATCAACATATCCTAGATTTTATGTTTCAATCCCTCCACAATTTTCGGCTGCTATTCTTATCACATTTTCCGCCAAGAACTAGTTGGACTGTGAAAAATGAATTTTATTTGAAATTGTACACACTCTGAAATCAAAGATATTTTTCACTTTTTTACACTATTCATTGTCTGTTGAAAGAATTCTAGAAATTTGCCAATATTATGAAGGCTATCTCTCCTTCTTCTTTGGTTTGTCATTTTTTATTTAAGTCCCTACTCCTCACCGTTATAATAAGAGTGAGAAATAAAAAACAATATCGACCATATATTACGAATCAAACTAGCAAAAGGTACACAAATCTTTTTAAACGAAGAAAAAATAGAAATTTAATTACGTTTGGGAACTTTTAGTTTTTCTCTATTTACAAAAATTTTAAAAGCGTTTCACTACATGCATTTTAAATAGGAGTTCCTCATGTTTAAAAAAAATAGTTTATTTAAAATTAAATTATTATATTAATTATGTCCTCAGCGAAATTATTATCAAATAAATTTAAATTATACCTACACTTTTAAATATTGTCTAATTTTTTTTTTTTTTCAGTTCGTTTGATTGTGTGAGTCAATTTTTTTCGATCCCCGTGTTTATGGCATATTTGACAGGTTCAGTTGTTATAGCGCTCAGTTTGCTCTCAAACAATGTAAGTTTTGAATTGAACTGAGATGGGATTTTTCTGTTTATTAAAACGATACCTACCGTTACAGATATGGGAACTTCCGGGAACATCGCTGACTTCATCAGTATTGGGATGTATAGAAGTTGGCTACATGGCTTTCATTTCTTTCTTGGGCCAACAGATCATAGATTTGGTAATGTTATATGAAATTATATTCATTACTCGAAAGATTTTTTTACTTTTGATAACTACTATTTAATTATACAGAATGATGAACTGAGAGTGAAAATGTATGAAAGTAAATGGTATTACGGGAGCAAACGGACCAAGAATAGCATTCAAATTTTTCAGCAAATGACTCTCAAGCCTTTAGTGATCATGAGCGCAAGCATTATTCCAATTAATTTGGACACCTTCGCGATGGTGAGTGCAATATTTTTAAAATTATCTAATTGGAAGATAAGGTCGCTACAAAGGTTTGATTTGTGTTTCAGGTGATGAACTCTGCGTACTCATATTACAACCTTATTAATGCTTTTTCATAAGAATGAAGCTGTTACCTGCCATCTACCAACGCTATTTTGGGACACAAGCTTAGTTTATCAAACACTTTCGCACTTTTAGATTTGATTCTATTGACCTAAGAATAAAAACCTAAGAATAAAAATAAATAAAGTCCTTTTTGTTGCACGATTCTTTTATGCACTTACATTGCAATGATTCTCAGGTGTAAAACTAACAAATAAAAAAAATACAAAAAAACAAAATTATACCATCACAGCCCATAAAGGACCAATCATAATGACACAGGTGAATCTACAGGGATGGGCTTTCGGGATCAAGTCCGGCACCCTTCCTCCAATGGTAAAATTTACCATTTTCCTCCATATCTTATGAAAAAAATATTATAAATGTTATCTAAAATATTGTGTAATTATAGTCCGTGGTACAGACCCCTTTTTATCAAATTAATAACAGATGCCTGAAACTTCGTGAATAGCTTCATCTCATCGTAATCTACAAATATTTTATTTAAGAATGATTGTAACCTATTTTTTTCATTTATATCTTTTGTAGGTTTTTTAAGAGATTTTTCCTACTATAAAAAATGAATTTAAATTTTTTAAATAGTATTCAAACCACTAAGTAGTATTATGTCGTGTGTAACCACAAACATGTAACTTATCAGTATGACATGTTGTAATGTATATAAAAAAAAAAAATTAAATAAATAATAAAAAAAATATATATTTAAGAATGAACCCAACTCTTGGAATTGGCTGTTCTCAATCTGGAGGTAGGCAATCTTTTTCTGTTTAATTATTTAAACTTTCACATATCCATTTACTTTCCACTTGGATCGTAAAATAATTTGATAACAAAATCGAGAAAAAATGGTGGCCTACAAAAATACTGGACCGTTTGGCCTATACAACCACGTTATCTTCACATTTTGGGAGTGTAGGTCACGACGCCAAACGGCTAAATATTTTTGAAGGCTAAGTATTTTCTTGAGTTTGTGCTAATTATGTTACGATTTGAGTTGAAAGCAAATGGGTATTTACGAGTGTTTAGTACCTAATTAAATAGATAAATTTTTCATATATCTATTTCAGGCCAAAGGTCACTAAATATACACAGTTTTTTATCTCCTGTATGCTTTATTCAACGTTTTGGCTTCAGGAGCCATTTTCAAGATCCATGCACCGCGCCATAAAATTTTTAAAATCTTTCATAGCGATATGATTCGTCCTTAATTCATTCTTTTATTTCAAAGAATGTCGTTTTCCATTTCTCTATTTGCAGAGGGTATCAAGAAATTGTTGTTCCTCAATAGGGCATTCATACAGTCCTGTATGATGTACCATGAACTTGCAGGTATCCCTTGTCCTACTCGAAGGAAATCTGGAAGACTCTATTCTGACAGACACAACCCACACTGTTTGAACAGTGAGTTATCTAAAAATTGTTGCTGACCATTACTCTTCGAATTATTGCTACTTTCAAAAAATAAATAAATAAGTTTTAAAAGTAATTTTAGAGGCCTAATGAGCACAACAGATATCCGGGTTTAACAGCTCTGGAGTTTTAGTTATAGAGTAAGTTGAAGTTTTCGTCACATGCTTTATAAAAAAACTTCGGTCGAGTTTTAGTGAAAACTTTAATATTTGCGAAGACTCGGACCCTTATTATTATAATTAACTCTGTGGCGCTTGGTTTAGTTTTTCTTAACTAAAAATAAACTAGTTTATTGTTAATTAACGTTGCTGCAATTGGAAATTACCAAATGTAAATAATTTTTTAGCAATCATTTTTGGTAACAAAAGCCATGATATTATTTTAAAAAAAACAAAAATTCAATAGGAACCGGACAAATAGCACGAATGAACGTTTCTTTTACAATTTAGGTTTTTATATCTTTAAGTTTGTGAAAATTTACGGTGCAACGTGTCTATGTGTACATTTCCTCGCCTCACTAATCACTCTATTTACTTCAGAACGTTATTAAGAGATAAGAAGTTTGAGGAATAAGTACTTGATAATTAGAACACATAAATTCATAGAGTTCCCTTAAACTTCGTATTTCTAATTAAATTTGTAAAGCAAGCAGAATGATCAGTAAGACAATAGTGATTACAACTCTCATGTATGAAAACAATTGCAATATTTAAGTAATGAAATATTTAGAATTTAGCACATGAAAAAATAATCTGTTTCTCATGCCAGTCTACCAATTGCAGAACGAAAAGAAAACAAAATTAGGGATTTCTTCAGTTTGCATATTAAGGGATGTGGTGTCACTATTTACTCTCCCTCAGACAACGCTGCTTGCCAATAAATAATGTACTCCCTCACCATGCCATGAAATCATTTATTTGCAATTCGCATTCTTCGAAAACTTTACTCGAATATTCACCATAGTTGTAAGAATCTTAACAAATTTCATTTGATTGGATATTCATAAATCCAAATAAAAAACATTCAACAGATAGAATGAACTTACTAACGTCGAGGTAATCCAAAAATCCAGTGATTAAAAAAATTCTCGATAATAAAATTACTTTAAAGATCTTCTTTTGAGTTAAGTTTTAATCCAGCCCATGCAAATAAAAAAACAAATAAGGTGGAAAATTTTGTTTTTGGTTTAGTATTTTCATTAATACCTTTGTAATTTACATCGACATCAAAGACAGTCTCTCCAAGAAGATTCTTGAAATTCAGCATTAATATACACCATTTTCTTTCAATAAAACGATCGATCAGGTTCATACTTTTTTTTTTTTTTTTTTTTTTTTTCAACCCTCCCCTGCCTGAAGGCAATACGGGTATTTGCAGTAGTGGGATGTTACTATTACATAACAACCCACTGCTGCATTTTTGGCTATTACATTATTTTCTGAGCTGTGCACACAGCTTGCTCTTCTCTTCACTTGCATCTGGTTTACTTTTCTTATTATTCTGGTGGCCTCCCCGGTGCAGCTTCTCTTCTTCTTCCCAAAGAGAAGTGGGTTGGTAGAACAACTTCTTTCCATCCGTATATAAAACTTTTAAAATGATCGTATCTTTCTTTGTCCATAAGTTGAGGAAGATCTCTCTCTGTTAGGACAAAGAGACCTGTTTCTCTCAACAGTTTCGCCCTCAGTGACTCATAGACCGTACAGGTAAGCACAACATGTTCAGCGGTCTCCGGTACCCCACAACATGGGCATAGGGGATCGATATTTATACCATACTGAACGAGCTTTGCTCGGAAACCCCCATGCCCCGTGAGAATCTGTGAAATCCAGTAGTCCGGGAGGACCCAAGTCGCTTCTAGTCGCGAACTGACGGTGGGGAAGTACTTCCTTAGAGTAGCTCCTTTGGGAGTCGTCAACCACCGTCGGTTCCAGTCCTCTACTGTATCCTCCCGGAGAATCTTCTTCCAGTTTCTAGGATCATCTCTTATTCTCACTCGGAGGTAATCCGGTAGAGCCGCTAAGCATTCTCTCCTAATCTTATAACGGTAGTAGTCTTCTCTCAGCAGGAGGTCGAGAGGTATTCCTCCTGCCAAGACCTGCACAGCCTCATGAGACACGGTCCTGAATGATCTGGATACTCGAAGCAGAGCCATCCGCTGAATCGTGGCCAACCTACATTTCTGTCTGTGCGAGAGATTTTGGCTCCAGGCAGGGGACGCATACCTCAGGATACTCACAATAACACCTTTATAAATGGTTATAGTTGCTGGGTACCTGAGTCCCCAAAATGCGCCCCCAATACGACTGAGTCCGTTAAGGGTTAGGGCTACTCTACTTCTCAAGTAGTCCAAGTGAGGTGTCACGTTGAACTTTCTTCCTATCCTAATCCCAAGATAGGTGACAACCTCACTTGGACGTATTCTTGATGCTTGTACAACCATTGTTATAGGGTGAGCCCTATCAGTCGTGCCTTTCAAGAGGATGGCCTGAGTCTTAGCGGCGGCCATCCTGAATTTCTTCTTCTCGCACCACTCTTCTACTAAGTTGGCGCACCTTTCAGCTTCTTCTTTCAGTCGGCTTCTGCTGTTCGAGGCTACCACAACGGCCAGATCATCCACATAAGCCGTAGCGGGGAACCGCTCCTCTTCTAGTACTCCCAACAACTCATTGAAGACTAAATTCCATAGGGCAGGACCTAGAACAGAACCCTGGGGACAACCTCTTGCCATGGAGTCTTCAACTTCGAAGAAGTTACCCCGGATTCTTAAAGTTCGGTCCTGAAGATAGCTCCGTAATAGCTCGTACAAGTTGCTGGGAGCTTCATACTTCTGCAACTGCTGGAGTACGCAAGGCCACCAAACACTATCGAAGGCGGAGGAGATATCAAACAGGAGGAGCATAACATACTTCTCCGCCTTCTCTTCGACGTCATTGCGCACTCTTAGCAGGGCATCCACGGTTCCCCTACCCTTAGTGGATCCGTACTGCCGTGGATGGCTCGCTCTTGAGAAGACCGGTCGTAGGCTCACCAGGAGTAGGTTCTCTAGCACTTTGCTCATAACAGGGAGGAGACATATAGGCCTATAAGACTTGGCTAATTGCTTGTCCTTGTCTCCTCCCTTGTAAAGGAGCCTTATGTCGGCAATTTTCCAATTTCGTGGAAAGTATCCCCTATCAAGGCAATCATTGAATAACTCCAACAACGTATCTACGATATAGGGGATACTATTCTTTAGCATAGCCGCATCGATTGCGTCTAAACCGGGAGCACGACCAGTCCTTTGCCTGTCCACAGCAGCACGGAGATCCCATATGTCCCATGGTGGGCACAAGTCCGTACCAGGTGGACATACCGTAGTGCGCCTTATGAATTCCTCTTCTTCATTATCTTGGGACGGATCATCTCTGGGGTAGATTTCTGCTATAAACATCTTCGATGTCTCTTCCAGAGTGGTTGCATGGGTAGCTCCGCACTTGAGCGCAGCAATCACTTGTTGTGGTGTCAGCTTACCCAGAGCCACTCTGTAAGGAATACCCCAAGGATTCTTTGATGACTCCTCAACAATGAACTCGTCCCAAGACTTCCGCTTTTGTAAGCGCACCTCATTTCGATATGCCCTGGCTTTAGACTTGTACTCGTCACGAAGTGTAATGCGCCTCTCGTCACAAATACACCTCTGGTACGACCGCCGGG